CGCTCCGTGCGTGCCGCAACCGAAACCCGCTCACCACCCTGCCTGGAGAGTGTGGCGCAAACCACCCACAGTTTTTCCGCAGTGGCTACAGTGATCAAATTTGACAAAGATTCACGTGAGTTGACGCGCTTACTTCACCTGTACCAGTGCTCTTCCGCCTGTGAAGTTTTGACAAGCGCAGTTTGCAAGTGTGTGGGTTTTAGCAATAAAAACACACACTTGGAATCGAATCCAGCGGTGTCTCCTTCCAGTGGACCTTTTGCGAGGGAGCAGTAGAACACACGGAATCATTGGCTGGTTGCTGAGGTTGTATTCTTCCATTAGACAGCGAAGGCCCCCGAGAAAAAGCGTCCCCATAGGTTGTTTGAGTCTGCAGTAGTGTTTACTGTTTACTTTTCGGTATAAACGAGGAACCGTTGAGAAGCGTGGGCAAGAGGTTTTCAGCTACGCTCGACCAAGAGACTGGTTTTCTTTGTGTGTTTTGTCATAGGCACACGTTGAGAAGTGTGCGAGTGTGTTTGGGAGTGTGGTGTTGCGTGCGTGCTTTCGTAATAGCGGTATTCCAGACGGAGAACGTACCCTTGCTGAACTCCCCAGACGGTGGGACATCACGACCTGATAGGCTAGCCGGAGCGCTTTGCTGAGGAGATGTCCAACAGCGACGAGGATGAGGACCGCCGGTTCTTCCGTGCCGCAGCAGAAGCGATAGTGGCTTCGTCGATGAACAGCCAAATAGACCCGACCATTATGGAGTTGCTCCGTCGGATCCAGTACGCTTCGCTCAGCAAAGGCAATGGCAGTGCACGGAACGAAGGCCATACGCTTGCCGGGTCAAGCACGGGCTCAGGCTCACAGCAGCTACAGGCCAGCAGCATTGCGTCGCTGAGCGGGTTGATAGACTCGACAAAGGCGACGAACTTCCCAACGTTCAACCTCGACTACTTCAACATACAGGACACACAGAGGTCCGAGGCACGGGAGGAGAACATCAACGTGTTACAACCGCACGAGCAGCATAGTCTCAGTCTCCAGCGACACCAGCTGGGCCATAACAAACAGGTTTATGGGACGGAGCGCGCAAGCAGTGCTAATAACCAGAGCTCTAACAATGACGGTGGTTACAACAGTAATAATAACAACAACAACAACAACAACACAGGAAATAGACCATTCACATTCCCAATTGCAACATCACCGGCAACGCAGTCGCTGGTATCGAAACAGACGCCGAGTTCACAGCATTCGTACACACCGAATTCTGTCGGAGGCTCTACTTCAAACCCCTCGTCCCCTTCAAATGGCGATGAAAAGCCCTTCCAATGTCAAGATTGTACTCTGAGCTTTAGAAGAAGCTCCGACTTGAGGCGACACCAGAGAGCCCACCTGCCGGTTTTACCACATATCTGCCAACAGTGCGGTAAGGGATTTGCAAGAAAGGATGCCCTGAAGAGACACACCGACACTCTCACCTGTAAACGTAACAGAGAAAGATTGCTGAGCAGTGGTGGCGATCTGGAAAGTATACTTCAGAGAGGAAGAGATCACATATGACAAGGGTTACGAAGGCTGCAAGAGACTAATGTATTTATAAAACGGACCAATGCTGTAGCCTAGCTACAGCTCTCCTGTCGAAGCATCTATTATATAGGCTAAGCTATAGGAATATTCATTTGTTGTGTACTTATACACAGAGGCCCGGGAAGCGTGTGTAACGCGTGTCATTAGAGTAGGTTTTGTTCGTGATAATAAATTATGTCTGTGGGGTCGTTGAAAGGTCATTAGACGACGTTGAATCTCGCGTATATGAGGCTCTTCATCTTTTGGTTGATGGTGTCCATCTCTGTCTCGTCAACTTGCAAGTCGGACTCGTCCAGTCCAAGGTGAGCGACGATTTGGGCAATCACCGGGCTGGTGATGCCGGTGATCTTATCCCAGGGATTCGAGTTCACGCCCTGGATAAGGATGACAACACCAAGGATCACCTGCTTGAGCGGGATGTCAACCTCGTCAACGGCATCCAGGTACCGTGAGAGTACCACACACACCTGCTGGAACTGCACCAGGGACAGCCCGCACCTCTTCGAGAGCGTCGACACGAACGACAAGACGCCTCTCCTGTGCAAGTCATCCATGTTCCAGCAGAACTTGGGCCCATAGCCGTTGATGATGAGGCTCAACGAGTGGTTTATAACGTACTGTAGTATCACCCTTCTCTGAAACTGATACGTCTGTGTCTGGGTAAGCGTATCGGTACCGTAGTTGCCAAAATCGTTATGGAAGGGAGAATCAATAGGCGAGCTCATCTCGTGCACCGAGATCATCTTACAGTCCTTCAAGCGCTTCTACTGAATAGACCGAGCACCAGGATCCGGTCTTTCTAGAGACTTTGGCCAGGTTGGAGGAGGTGTTGTGCTTTGCGAGCCCGTGGAATAAATTTCTTCCTTGTAGTGGCACAACACGGGCAGGGAGTGTGGGTATGAATTTCGCCGTGCGAAGGCCGGGCGATGATGCCTATGACGTATGGGCCTCCAGGGAGGACTGGCAGGGGGGCAGTCGACGGAAAGGTGGTGCTGTGCAATTGGCGTGGTGCTGTGTAGCTGAGGATGTGGTGAGGGAGTGCTGGCTGTATCAGCGTGCCACGGTCCGTCTGTTGGCGTGGTGGGCTCGCTGGGCAGTGGTGGGCAGGCAGTGTGGCTCTGGCGGTGTGCCTAGCGGTCTCTGCCTGGCTGTCTTTCCCTGGTGGTCTGCCTAGCTGTCTGCGTAGCTGTCTGCGTAGCTGTCTGCCCGTCTGCCTGGCGCTCTGCCCGTCTGCCTGGCCTTGCCCGTCTGCCTGGCGCTCTCTCCCTGCCGAGACGGTCCAATGAGTCATCCCTGCCCTGAAAAACAGATCGCCCTAGAGGTGGACACCACCTACTAAACTATGGGGCCGGCATGGTGATAGAGCCAACCAATATCGCTAGGCAGGTCGTCGTGCCGTCGATCACTGCCTTGGACAGCTCAGAGGGAGCCGTCCAGGCCAGCCTGGACTCACTGGACGGCCATTGAGGCTGTCGAGGGAGTGCGCTGTGCTTATATGGACCCCCACGGCAATCTACCAGCGGGTTTAGCTACACGAACATCACCAACATTGCAATAGCTGAGGGTAGAAGAATCCGTATGTATAAAGAGGAAGCTGGGCATGCGAAGACGACTCCGGCACTCAGAACTTGCCAGTGCACTTGAAGTAGTCGTTCAACGTGAAGGAGGTGACATAGCAGTAGGTGTCGTCACATTCTCCCTCGGAACACCTTGGAACAAATGGAGACTCTCTGAAGGATAAACCAGCATACAATTGAGACACATCGCCTTTGTCTTTGATGTCCTCGGCCACTGTTGCCCAGAAGGTGGCATTTAGAGGAGCATTGGATGGCCATTTCCCCTGTGGGTCGTATGACTCCCTTGCACTGTACAGACGCTCCCAGACTGGTTCTTGACCATCATCGCTGAAGGTCTCGTTCAGCTTTGTATAGAAGTTGTAGGAGTTGACGATGGAGAAGGTCTCGCTGTCGACCTCATAGTATCTCCATCCTGGGTTATAGTTGATCCAAGGTGTCACGGACTGAGCAATCCACGTGTTCATGAGAGCATTGTCGATTGTCTTGTTATCATGCGCATACAACACGTTGAACTCATCCTGATGCGTGTGTCCAAAGAACAGGCCTGCAATTGTAGCTGGTGCAAATCTGGTGACGATCTGCTTGTAGGCTTCAGCTTGAATTGGGATGGAATCGACAATGAACGGAATGTGGGCTATGATCCACACTCTTTGTCCTTTAGATTCAGACTCGACAAGCTCATCGATCAGGAACTTCAACGAACCGTACTGGTCAATACCATCAGTCATGTTCCAGTAATTGTACAAGTTGCCTTTATAGTATGCGTTGGAGTTCAGTGCAATGACCTTCAACCCTCTGCTTGTCTCAACAGAGTAGCCTGTGTAGTGCTTCTTGATTTGCCCATACTTCTCTGCAGGAAGCCATCCGTTTCCAATCCACAACTCAGCAGCCAATTGGTCGTTCCATTCATACAGGTTTCTATGACCAGTGGCTTCCGAAGCAAGCTGACCATACGGGAACGTGTCGTGATTGCCCAAGACGGAATACACTGGGGTGTTCTTGAAGTACTTCTTCATGTCTCTGAAGATTGTTGTCTCAGAATCAATGGTGTCTTGGTAGCTGATGGCTTCAAACTCGTCATGATCAACAATATCACCGGTGAAGATGACAAAATCGAGAGCCAGATCATTCTCCTTTTGATAGTCTACGATGGACTTCAACGAAGAGTTGATGAGCAGTTCTGGCGAGTCACACTTGTAGTGCCCAAATTGCTGAGCTGGGTCCCAAACGCTAGCGTTGAAGACTTCTCTGGTCACGTCATCACCAAGCTGGAACTGTTCATCATCGTCGTAGTACGAGTCAAAGAACCTAAGGTGCGAGTTATCAACATGGCCTGGCTTCTCGAGCTTGTTCCAGCTGTGATCTGTACAGCACATGCCCAGCAGGTTGGTACAGTTACCTTCAGAGCCAAGCTCATAGTCCAATTGGATGTGGAAATCAGAGATGTGCAAGACATTGAACGTTTCATTGCTTGGTGGTGGTGCAATGTAAGACGACTCAGGCTTCTCTGGCCACCATGAGGAAAGGTCAATGTTTGGCAACTCTGGCAGTGGACATCTCTGTAGCAGAATGAAATAGCAGATATAATCACCATCCAGCGACCACGGGTCAATCAATTGAAGCATGTTGGTGTAGTCCGTACCAGCACTGACAGACTCAACGGTGCTTCTTCCCATGTAGTTTCTGCATGTATCCTCAGATGCTATGCCACTGAGGATGCAGATCTTGGTGAAGATCTCTGGAACCCAATCTGGCTTCACCAGTGCCAGGTTCTTGCCGATTTGAACGATGGACTTACACTGGTGGCAGCTGTCAGTCACTCTACC